GTACGCGGAGCAATCTGTAGAGCTGGAAGCTGAGAACTGGCGACTTTGTAGTACAACTTTAGTACGCGGAGCAATCTGTGCAGCTAGAAGCTGAGAACTGGCGACTGTGTAGTACAACTGCAGTACGCGGAGCATCTGGGGAGCTGGAAGATGAGAACTGACTGGCGACTTTCTAGTACAACTTTAGCACGCGGAACAACCTGTGGAGCTGGAAGCTGAGAACTGGCCACTTTGTAGTGCAAGTGTAGTGCGCGGAGGAGTCATCTCTCGCTGCTGAGTCATCTCTCGCGACTGAGTCTCTCGCTGCTGAGTCAGCTCTCGCTATAGCCATCTCTCGCGGCTGAGTCATCTCTCGCGACTCAGTTATCTCTCGCTTCTGAGTCATCTCTCGCGGCGTGCAGGTTTGGCACAGTTCATACTGATAGTATTTGGTTGCATTTATGCAGGACAGGACATTCAACTGCTGGTCAATACACCACTCATCATACACCACTCAGCATACACCACTCATCATACACCACTCGTCATACACCACTCATCATACACCACTCAACATACACCACTCGTCATACACCCCTCTTGTCGTGGCAAAAATACAACCCAGTACGCTGTTGTGAGCTGCTGATCCTGCAGGGGGCACACCTTACACACGTGGAATCCCGTGGGTCAAAAGTCCGGAGCGCGTGCGTTTGACTGGAGGACGCGCATGTTGTAGAGAACGTGGACGCTCCTATAGGTCAATTTCTTCTTATATGAAACTTCCGCCGCCGGCTTGCCCGGGAACTACTTGTATCTATCAGCTTACCCCAACGTGGATGGAATCGGCCAACGTGGATGGCCAACGGCCTCAAGTTCGGATGACCCATGACATCCGAAGGTGCCATCCCACGGAAGGTCCATGAGGACTGATCAGGACTGAAAAGAGTCCCTGATTCCGAAGGAATCCAGGATTTGGTCGACTCTACAGTAGATTTGAACATCACCCCAATACAGGCATCGACCCCCCTTGTCAATCGCATGGTGGTCATGTCATGTCCGTAGGTTCTTCGGTTTGGACTATCAACTCATACATCATATGAACAAGACCTGTCCGGACTGATCATTCCAACGTTGAACATGAATGAACGCTAAACAAAAACATTCATAATCATTCATACAAACACAAACACTCTATTCCTTTCTTCGAAGCATACGTAGTTACTAAGTTGGAGATATAAACCATCCCCAAGAGAAGCGATCACTTTGGGGAAACAAGGGACACATATTCCAACCCGTCACTTTGTTTCATAGACTTCTTGTCATCTGAACATGAACAGCCTTGGCTGCCGATGGCTGCCACGTCTTTTTCAAGAGCTGCCGTCGGCCGTTACATTTGCACACTCCTTTAACAGTCAAATTAATTGGTCACTTCCAAATGGCCATCCGCAGCTGCAAGCATTGAGGCGGTTCTCCCATCTGCCGTGGCTGCATTCATGTCTGCTCCGGCCTTGAGCAATGTTCGCACCACATCCAAATGGCCCTCTTTCGCAGCGAGCATCAAGGCAGTTCTTCCATGTGCCATGGCTGCATTCTTGTCAGCTCCAGTCTCGAGCAACAACCGCACCACTTCCAAATGGCCCTGTCTCGCTGCAAACATCAAGGCGGTTATTCCATTTGCCGTGGCTGCATTCTGGTCAGCTCCGGCCTCGAGCAATATCCGCACCACTTCCAAATGGCCCTGTTTTGCTGCATGATGAATAGGTGAAAGGTAAGTGTCTGCTTCTCTCCAATTGGGATCCAGTGGTTTCTGAAGCAAACTTGCAACTTCAACAACTCGATTGTTCTCACATGCAGAGAGTAGTGCCTGCCAAATGGCATCGTCAGGCGCACAGATTACCAACTGCAAACTTCGTAGTTGTCTGATGGACATATCATCCTGAAGCTCCCCCATTTCTTCACTCAAGAGCCTTTGTCAAAATCTGTTGTATCCAACCAATCAGGAACCTCTTCAAATCCCCAACAGATTTTCCACTCGCCACCATGTCGTCCAATTCCTCAACGGGCCCTCGAAACGGCAGGGGCCCGGATGCTGGACAGCTTTTTGTTCACCATGGGGGTGACCAGTCGAGAAACTCTGATTCGTAATGAGTCATATGAGTCACATCATGTAGAACTTTGGTTTATCAACACTCCCCAGTCACATGGATTGTAAAGCCTCATCTGAGGGGGTGATACCATTACCATTCAGCTACGGATAGCTACGGCCTGCGATATTCCTGAACTGCAGAGCTCATGACGAGCTGGGCCGTCCGACGTGCAGCGATTCGTGCGGCCGCTCCCCTTCCGGTTCACCCGTGACACCGCCGTGTGGCACGGGCCGCGACACAACGCCTCGCGTGGCACGGCAGTGACGTTGTGCTGCCGGAACTGCAGTTGGCCCAGGTTCACATTCACCTGCAGATGTGGAGGACACACTCCAAGAAAGCTGGTGAAAGAACGAGTAATGAGGGAAGATGAGGGAAAAATAGATTCTAGCAAACGTCCTTTGGTTCAGGCCCTATATGAGTGTAGCATCATTAGTTTCCCCCCAAAAAAAAACATGTGTGCGCAAGAAGCTCAAAGCAGAGAAGGCAAGGCATAAGGATACAAAAGGGCAGAAGGGGATGGGACAATGATTTTCACCAAAACCATGGCCTCTAGAAGCCTAAGGTTCGACCAGGCGTCCGCGCCACTGCATGAGCAATTTTATGACCGGAGCAGTCGCAGAAAACAGAAGCCAACACGAACATGCGCACACATGTGCACCCATGGAACACTCTGAACAGCCCCGCATTTATGTCAATGACTCCATGATACTCAATGACTATTGAAGTGTTATGTATGTCTTTGTATTTATGTTATGACTATTAAGCGCTATGTATATATATATATATGTCTTCAATGAAATGCATTCAACATCCAATGAACTTCTTAGAACCGGCATCAGGTCAACGCCATCCCCATCTGCACCTCCAGCGGTGCAGAGTCCACAGAGGCTGCCAGCCAACGTGGGAAGTCCTGGAACGCAGGTTCGGCAGAACGAGCCAACGCCCCGCAACTGCAGATCCGAGACCATGAGTTCTTTGGGCTCCAATCGTTTAGGGCCCAGAAGGTAAACCATGTAACTTCCCAGGGTCACTGGTCACTGGTCGAAGCCAAAAGTCCAACTCAATAACCCCTTAGCCCTCCGTTGATTGAAGACTCTAAGAAGATTCCAAGATTGCAAGTGCCCAAAGCCTCATCAGCCAAAACCCTGACATCAAAAAAAGAGAGAGATAGGATTCTCCTTTAGTTGGCGTACCCCTCTGTTGGCCTACTTCGCTCCATGGCATCCTCCGAAGCACCGAAGCAGCGACTGCGGCGACTTCGCTCCTCATCGGCGTTCGGCCCGGTGGACCCGTGGTCACCCGTGATGCTCGGCGCGAAGCGCCCCGAGCCGTCCCAGGTGTCCTGGGAGCGGCACGCGGTCGCTGGTCAGCACTTAAGACCTCCTGAAGCTCTGATGCATGATGATGGGTGGGTGATGGTGAAGATCTTTGATGTGTTCTTTTGCGTGGCACAGGTGGTGTGGTGAAACACTTTGCATGGTCTTGCAGGTGTGGTGGATTCACAAGCGGTTTCTGATTGAACCAGGGGACCACTGGAGGGGAATCAAACACGTTATATATACTTTATACACATGAGCATGTTCGATCAGTCAGTTGTGTTCTGGAGGCTGCAGCAAATCATTTTGGAGCAAGGGACAAACATGACCTTGAATTTGCTTGACCTGCAAACTTAATCGTTCCAATATGTTGAAATGTGTAGTTACGTGTTGCTGCAACTCCATACTAGATAGAAATCGTAATCCTCCTCAAAGATATACGACCTATACTTCCACAAAGCACAAACATCTCTTCCCCTAGATGTCCACCCACATTTCTTGGAGGTCATTTGGGATTCTTGGGAACTTGGGAGGCTGTTTTTACAAATAATTATACACAAATCATAGCAAATCCCTTCCTGAAGAGCATCCCTTTTGCTTGTCCCACCGTGTCTTTAGACCCAAACCCCGAAGCCCACGCACCTCGAGCTCCGACCAACGCCGGTGGGACGTGGACGTTGCCAGCGAGCGGGCGGGGCTGGACCTTCCCCGCAGGGAGGCGAAGGAAGGCTTTCAAGATCTTTCCATCCTTGAGCTGTATTTGAAAGATATAAGAAAGCTTATGAAGGAGCTGAGGATTTAAGAATAGAGCTTACAACATCCTTAAGAAGGCTTTTTCATGCTTTTTCAAGGAGCTGTATTTGCTGAAGACGGACGACATAAGACATCCTCACCTGTGGAAAAACAAACTTGATCACATGTGCCCCTCTATATATCTGGTGAAGGGATGCTATAGTAGGATGTTATCCCTGTGATGTTATCCCTGTGAGTGTTGGAATCCACTATATAAATCCAAGACCGAGACTTTCACAGACCAGTTGTTCAGGACGTGGACACTGGGCAATCCGAAGATCGGAAGAAAAGCCCCCCCGGCTGTGCCCAAAAAGCCAAGCACTTCGGTGGGCTCAGATTTGCCACATCATTATGTTATTGATACATACATGATGAGTTGGTGCTCAAACAAACACAAAACACAAAAACAAACACAAAGAACACACACAGAAATACACACTGAAATTAAATCTCACAAAAAAGAAATACTGAATGAATGGATTCCATGGTGTCCCAAACCAAAAGCCGTCCGAAGCACCGAAGCACCGTCCACCCCCGTCCACCCCGGTCCACGAAACGTCCACGACAGGTCTCCCCAACGCGACGGTCGAGACCACGTGTTCCAAGACCTGGATCCGATCGAAGGATTCGACGTTGGTGAGTTGGTGATGAAATGTTTCTCGGGAGACCCAGTTGGTGTTGGGTCTCTGATAAAATCAACAGACTGAATCCGCTGAATCCATTGCGAGGTTTTGCCGGCCTATTAAGATACAAAGCCAAATCAAGATTGCAAAGTAAAGCAACCAATCATAAAGTCTTGGGGGAACTTGCCTACAAACCAAGAATAAATTAAGCAGGGTGCGGTTGTGCGGTGATCCGCGGTGTGTGTCTTCTCTTTTGTTTCGAACGATCTGAAAGACTCATCCAAAACGTGAATGCCCTGATTCAACATCCAATGCAAAGCAACTATTGCGGGACCAAAGTGCTTCCATCAGCGCCACACCATTTGGATACAACCATGTTGACTGCCCCTCCCTCATGCGGTGTTGCAAGTTTCTGGCCCTCCACCGTTGCACCAAGCCACGTGATCACGTTCATTCGTCTTCGTTCGCAGCCATCCTGTCTGATTTCAGCAGAATTGCATTGGCCTACCTGCCTTTGTGGCTTTTGTTTTGACAATCCAACATGTCTGCTGATGATGTTAGCTATGCTGTTTGTAACACATTGTGTTTTCTGCATCACTGACTGAGTGTTCAGGTTGTTTTGTCTGACTGTTTCTTTTGATTTGTAAAACTGTTTAAAGGAATTTGCTCTCTGTTGCTGTCATCGTCATCGTTGTTATACTTGTGGCTTGTTGTTTTGGTGTTCTGTCATCGCGCCTCTTCTTATTTGTTGTTAATGTTAGTACTTGCCATCATTTGCCATTGTCCTTCTGTGTCCTTCTATTTTCCTTTGTTCTTGTTGCACCAGCACCAGCACCACCCGCCGCAGCCGGCAACTCCGCCAGGCCCGCGATAGACCCGCGAGCGCGTCGCATGGAACAGCCTGGGCAAGTCGGGGCAGTTCCACGGAGCAAATCTGATGCATGGGTTTGCTCACATTGGTTAGGGTTATTGGAAAAACGAAACCTTAGAACAGGTGACCTGTAGCCCAACGCAGCTTCGTTGGGCTACAGGTCAAAAGTTGTGCTTGGGTTATGGAAAATAATACATGTCCAGTTTGCACTTGCCTAGGTTCTGTTTTTGCTTCGGACTTCATCTGATTCTGTTCTTGGTTTAACGTTATATACTCACATTGGGGAGCGATAGGAAGTCCGGTCTTCTCCTGTTGTGAGGACCTTCTCTCAATAAAGGCAACCATGCAATCAACGTCACTTCCAAAAGATGCTGACTAACCTTCCAAAACAATATATATATATAAACCAAAATCTCTGTGATCTAAACACAACGCCATGCAAAACCCCAAAAATCAAGTATATCATTCTTGAGCTTCACACCTGGTTGAAGTCCAGCTAAGCCCAAGCAAAAGCCGTTGCTCCACACCGGCACCATCGCCGACTAGGAGGCCCGACTCGAAAATCTCCGTATCCAAGAAGCCCAAGGACTCGGCTTGCGTCCTTCGTGGGCTGCTCGGCCGTAGGCCGTGGCCGTTCATTCTACTCACCATGTGTCAGAACCTCTGAGGGTATGATGTGGGAGGTTGTCCATCTTTCTTCTGGAAATATGTCGTTTTAATGAGTGTGCTGCTTATGCTTTATATCTTGGTCTCACTACACCTGGAAACTTGTCCAGCTATGTCCAGCTGGTTCTTCCCCTGTCGCTGCCGACTGGGCGATTGACTTCCAAATCGCTTGGAAACTCAGAAACATGTGTGGATCGTCTGTATCTCAGTCTGCATAATCGAATTGTCAGTGTTTGAAATAAGGACATGAGCTGCGGAACACTCACAACCGCGCAGTGTGTCGGTTTCCCCAAATAATCCAACTGCCTTCGCAAATCTCCACAGCATCGTGCCACCTCCCTACGAACGTCAGATCGGAACTGGGCGACGATCTTCAGGCACTCCTTGTTCCCATGCCACTGGTATCCAGGTTCGCGTTCACGAACAGCTCGGCGCAAAGCAATGTGGACACGCCTGAAGAAACAGAAGGCAAACAGGGTTGGGGGAGTGCCCCAGAGACTAATTCCTTTGTTTCTCCCTTTCGGGAGGCACAAGTTAAGTTATAGTGGCGGTTGCTTGTGGATTCTTCTCAATGGATCAACCAACATATTGTTCTTTCTGCATGCTCATCTTTGCATGTTTATAAAATTGGGACATGGTGACCTGACCCTTAAAAGAAAGCACAATAAGTACCCGCAGGTACCGTTAGGACCCTCCTTTTGTTGGTACCTTGTTTGCATTGAAAGCAAGTGGCCTTGAAATAGATTGGATCTCAAGCCGAGGACCGAGCTATGTGGGTTGGCGTCCATCCGACTCCAGCGCTGAATCAACGCCAGGTGCAACCACAGGATACAGGCCACCTGGCGCATGGGATATGAGGTGAGACTGCGTTTTTTTGCGTTCCAATTCACAGATTGAGAGTGTGAGACCGACAAAGATTGTGGAAAATAACACAAAAGACATAAGAAAGAACAAACTCAACAAGAATCAGGCACATGAGATTAGGCAGGCAACATACAATAGATATATGTTACCAATCTGGTTACCTCCTTGTGGAATCCAATTCCACCCAACGGTGGTACCTGCATCTCTCCGGCGTCCATGGCGCGGCGGCACCAGCGTTCCAACATGGGCACTGCCTGGTGCTTTTCATCCACCGCACGGAGGCTCGGTGGTCAGGGCGCAGTATAGCTGCGATCTTGAGGCATCCGGGTGTTTGGAATGGCTTTCATGGACTTTTCCTGGGAACGTTCTTTTGACGGGTGAAATGGAAGAAACGAAACGTCATCCGTATAGTAGAGGCATGGCTCAAATCAGATTTGAAAAGTGGAAGAGACCCTGTTTGATGTCGGCACACAGGTCTTCCGAACTCAACTGCCGGTGATTTGGACCAGGTAACTGTGACAAGTCTGTAGGTTAATTATGTATTCTGATGAAAAGAACCGAATTCCAAGATCCAATAAGATCCATGTTACCCAGTGGAAAAAACGACATGGACCCCTGCCCCTGACCTCCTGGTTTGTAGAGATTCACAGTCCTTCAGGGTACCTTTTCAGGGTTAGATTTCGGGAGTGTAAATCCTCTGGCATCATGTAGAACATATCAATTCATCTTATGTCCTATCCAAGCGACGTACACCAACTTTACTTGGCACTTCAACGATTGCACCAACTGATTTGCTTCGTTTCCGCCGATGCGACTTCACGGATTGTCGGAACCCCGCCTGAAACCGGCAGCGATGAAGTTAGGGAAGTTAGGAGGAAGGCATTGGAGCAAAGGCCGGATGGTGAACCACGTCTTTAGGATCTTCCCACTTGATTTGCAGGGATCGCCTCATCGGCTCATGTGGAAATCCCACATAGTCAAGGGGCTTCAGAAAACATGGTTATTCCTTCCATGAGTCGGGTCCGCACAAGACTCCAACGATGAAAACACCAGAACCCCGTTTCTCAACATCGGATCTTCCGCAACCCGAACCCAACATCTCTCTCCACGGGGCCTCCACCATCAGCCGTTGCTCCCACTGCTTGGAGCGTTCGTTCAAGAGCCGTGCTGTGGCGGTATCCGCCGCCTGGGTGACGGTTTAAGGATGGCTTTTCAGGTGCCTCCGCATGGTTTTAGGACGGGATCTAACTGATGTTGAAGCAACTGAAAAGGAAGGTGACAATGATGGAATTCTAGATATTTCTAGAATTCAGTCAATTGAAAGACACCAAATGAATCCAACAATAGGGTGAATGGCTCAACAGTCAACGGCTTGATGTCAGGAACAATGTGCCCCGTCGCCCAGCCAGGGTTGGTCCCAAGGCCGCAAGGTCACCCGAGATGAAGACTGAGTTTGCTCGCAAGGCCGCCCCAAAAAGGTTGAATTCGGGGTCACCTCTTGCCTTCGGTGTCTTGCTGCCCCCGGCTCAACCGGCTCTGCTGGTCCTGGAGCCTCCCGTCCCGGAAAACAACAATCACCGCGATGAGGTCACGAACAGGCCTGCAATAGGTGATCCTAAAAAAGGACATGTCAGAGAGGTCCTGGAATCTGAAGGTCCTGGTGAACAAGCATATCGAGACCTCCCCAACAGAAAATGTAGATCCCCACTCATATGTATTGGAAACCGTGCCACCATCTATTTGGGAACCACTATGTAATACCCAGACACTCCATGTATGCCATATATGCCTACATTGGGGTGGTTTTTGGGGTCAATGTAGGCATTTTATGGCAGTCCCGTGAAGTGTATGGGATACGAAACATGGAAAACACCGCTTCTCCCGCTTCTCTCGCTTCTCTCGAGGCTCCCGGCTGCAAGGCCGCGGCTTGAGGCTTCAGCCTGACCCATGGCGCTCTTCCGGGCTAAGAGGCCTCGGCGTTCGGAAGGGGAGAAGGTGGAGGGAGTCAGGGAGTCCTGTAAACAAGGGGGTATGGTAACATGGTACCCTCAGCCCAACATCATACACCCACATCTCTGGCACATCTAGATAACTTATATAGTTGGAGGGTGCGGGTTTGGTATGTCTCATTCAGAACGACTTGGCGTCTAAGCCAGCTTAAGAAGTGTCCTCAACTACCGGTCGCAGGACATGTCCACCGACCACTGTCAGGACCTTCCACTCCAATCACCGACCAACAGGGTGTCCAACTCTCGCACATGGAACAGCAAAATAGCTGTTTTCGATCTAAATCAATTCCACCCCATGTCGATGGTTGAAGACCCCCCTTTTGGAGCGTTTGGAGGAACACTGCAAAAAGACTGGGCCGCCCGGGCCAGTGTAAGCGCTCGCCTCGGTGACTGGTGGCGCCCAAACAGAAATACAAAACCCAAACAGAAGTACAAAAGACCATCTGAACCAAAAATTCGAGATGGTCTTTTCCACGTGATTCTTGCGTGCGCTAGTGCTCTTCAAGAAAAAACACCCTCCACCTGGCGGCAGTTTTTGGAGGTTATTTTTGTTGACCTCTGCACAATAAAAGGCAGTCAGTTCAAGGACCTTTGATCGCCGCACGAGTAGAAGAAGCTACACAGTGGAACACACCCTTCGTTCAGTAGTAATTACAGGGTCAGGCTCTCGTTCACTAGTATGGGGTCAGGCTCTCCATTGGGGCTATCGAGCACCAGCTCCTCCATCTAGTCACATTTATGTGGTTGTCATCTACCAGTGCACAACAATCATACGAGTGGATCCTACGAAACTGAATGAACGAATGCTGGTCTCAATCATCTCTATCAATCCGAAGTGAAGGGACCTCATGGGACCTCCATCTGCAGCCACTGGCCGATTCGGATGAAGATCCCCTGGACTCGTGGAGTCCTTCACCTCGAAACCACCCTTGGCTGCTGCCGAGCTTCTCGAGTCCACAGCCGAACCGCATAGAGCACGGCAGAAGACGCAGCAGTGTACCGCGGCACGTCCCGTTCCTAGATGGCCATGATGGTGGATATGATGCCATATCCAAAACATGTGAAACCCTTAGGCCCTAGGCATTTTCTCGTTTTTTATTTTCAGAATCAGGAAGCCAAGTTCAAGTTCCCTGCATTCACCCGGTCTGGGTCTACCCATACTCATACAATCAAAAAACCTCCCGACAAAATCTTCGCACTGACCCCACCCATCCTTCCCCAACACCCCAAAGCACCAAGGAGTCCTTTCTGATCCCCTTCATCAAACATCTTGACCTACACCATAGTTCTCCCGGAAACAAGCTACTGATCAGGAAGCCCACAGCTGGCAAGTTGCTAGAAGCAGCTGGTATGAATGGAACATGTGTTCGTATGTGTTCCAGTCTGCCTTTTTCGGGTTAACATGTTGATTTGACTCTGCCCCATCGGGGCCAAAAAACACGTTCCTCTATCTTGAGAGTGGAGCTGGAAGATTTGTCAGGTCGTTTGACTCTCCATCACCAGGCCACCAAACGGGATAACAAACACATGTTGAGTTGAATTAATAGGATTCTACAAGACGTGTTGTTTTGTAATGTTTTGTGTGTTTGTTTCATGTCGCAGGTGATCTTTTTCCGCTGAAGTGGGAGAGTTCCTGTTTCTTAAGACCAGCATCTTTTTGCAATGTGTTTTTTGCCGTGTGATGGTCCGATGCAGCACGACATATATATTGATCCCACGTCTCCGTCTCCGGATTCTTGGGATTTTCGGAGTATGTGAATGTGACCCTTTAGGTTCAACGGATCTTGGTCTCATTCCAACATACTCCAACCATGTAATTATCACCCGTACGTATTTCATGTACATGCCTATTTCCAAGAGCCAACGATATGTTCAAACACAAGTTGTAATTACATCTCCACCCGACCTGACAAACGTTGTCAATCACCCGCGTGACCCAGCAAGACGACCAAACACAGACCGGTGGTCCATGGCCAAACGAAAAATGCCGTCCAACTCAGCCAGCACTGCAGTAGGGCCTCGGTTGTTAACAGTATACTATAGGGCCATAGAGAGTCATGGGACTGGTTAAAATTTGGGCAAACTGTATAGTTGAATTGTTGGGGACGTGGATGCGATGTGGGAACCAGGGTGATGTGGTGTGTGCAGAGGATGGCACAATGGCCACAACAGGTACAGCATCGATAGAACAAATCAACGCAAAAAAATCACATCCCTAATCACACAGTTTGGTTTTAGTTATTCAAATCAAATTACACCTGTTCTTCGCCAATGACCGAACAAAAAAATAATCAGCCACACAATTTCCGACACAAAAAAACAATCCTCATGCACAACGGCACGGCATGTTCTCAGTGCCAGGCTGTGCACCAATTCCTCAGCGTGCCACTGCGCAAAAACATGAACCACCATGTATGACATGCCCAAGACCCCGAAACTGTGTGTAGCACAGGACAAATTTAAACCACCCAAAAGGTTTATTTTTTTTACTTGTGGGTTCTGGCCGCAAATCCACGCAAACACAAATACTGCAATTCGTGCGAATGGGATCTAAGATGCAAACACATGTTTTGATCAACGGAACCCTTCGTTATTCTGAGAAAACTGATCAATATAATGTTGTTCCATGGGTGCTTTGGAATCGAACTCAAAACTGACAGCTAGAACAACATCGTCTTGTTCTAACTGGACTGGACACTGTTTTTTCAAAAAATACGTTCCAACCCACCTGTTAAACAACATGTGAAGGTATCCCAGCAAATATCCACAAACTGGCATTTTGTGTCATGACTCTTGGAAGGCTCTGTGCCACTTGAATGAGACGAAAAGTGGCTCTGTTTGCTAGAGAACGGTTCAATTCAAACAAAGACCTCGAGCCAGAAAACGGACAGTTGGCAAGGAAGACTTGCCATGCTTAGTCCGTGCATGGAAACAAGTAGCCGGATCACGCAGAAGTGCCAAACGCACAATAGATACTGCACTGCACGATGGAGATCTGAGCATGGTTGTGGACAAAAACATACAAAAACCACATGTCATCGGCCAAACTCCCACATCCATTGCTGCAAGCAACATGCACGAATCGCCCAGCAGGCGTGGCCAACAACCGGCGGCCATTGGGAGACCTCGGCACGCTCTCCTCAAGGTGACAGTTGGTGGAGCCCCTATCACTACATCAGTTGCTTTGCTCTATGCTTCCTCACTGCATG